GCATATATTCTCACAAGGGGTCTGAGGATCTCATTTTGGTACCTAATGGCAGCCATGCTACCTCAGGCGAGCACATGGAGGGCTGTGCGGCAAAGAAATGCCACCCCACACCAATACTGGCCCACTGCCAAACCAGTCATGCTGGAGGATGTTGCAGGCAGCAGAACATTCTCCAGACTCTGTCACTTCTGTCACATGCTCAGTGTGAACTTGCTTTCATCTGTGAAGGGCACCAGTGGTGAATTTGCCAATCTTGGTGTTTTCTTGCAGATGCCAAATGACCTGCAGGGTTTTTGGCTGTTAGCACAAGCCCTACCTGTGGACGTCGGGCTGTCATAACTCCCTCATTGAGTCTGTTTCTGACCGTTTGAGCAGACACATTCACATTTGTGGCCAGGTGGACGTTATTTTACAGGGCTCTGGCAGAGGTAGCGGTCCTGCTGCCAGGTTGTTGCACTCCTAAAGCCTTCTCCATGCCTCCTGATGTACTGGCCTGTCTCCTAGTAGCGCCTTCATGTTCTGGACACTGACAAGGCAAACCTTCTTGCCACAGCTCGCATTGATGTGCCATCCTGGATGAGCTGCACTACCTGAGCCACTTGTGTGGGTTGTAGACTCCGTCTCCTCTGTCTCTTAAGTGTTCCCTTTATTTTTTTGAGCAGTGTATGATTTGCTCATCCCCCAATGACGATTGGGTTAAGGCGTGGGTTTGTTGGCGCTGCTCTTTTTAAAAATTGTACATTTTTGTACAACTAAACTTGTTGAATTAACCACCAAGCTGACAAAAAGTAAAACAGTTACGTTTTCTCATGAGATCAGCCCAAAATATCGCATTTTGCATTCAACAGAAGAAAGAAACTCATAAAGGTTTAAAACCACACGAGGGAGAGTAAATTATGAGGTCCTTTTCATTTTTGACTGAACTATCCTTTTAATGTATTAAAATGTAAAGTTTTCGCAAACCTATTTTACAAGCGACACTGGTGGCCATCAAGTAAACAACAATCAAATCCTGAACAATTTATAAATTTGATGCATCATAGAACAGAAGAGAGTCTCTCTGGAGTGTTTAAACCACTTAAACTCTGCGGACCCGGTACCGGGTCCGTGACGTCATCGACTTTCGCTTTCAGATTTAAAAGGCTAGCGTTGCACCAGACCCCCGTAAGTTGTGTCGTTTGAAAGTGTAGAATCTATATGTTATGCACATAAGCATCGCTTTGGTTTTTACTGTATAAAAGTTATTTACACTTAAATACACAGTATTTTGGATACCCGAGCTAGGTATTTTACATTTGGGTCATTTTCATATTTTTTTACATGACACATGTACAAGTTATAGCTCAAATGAAAGCTGTTGCCGGTGCTCATACAGTTCTAACATTCTTTTTACTGAATTATATTCATATGCCAAACAGTTGTTGAGTGAATTGTGGTGTTTCCATAGCGCAGAAATGTAAACAATACATTTATGATCAATAAGCAGCCCCAGATAGCACAGACAGCTGTCATCTCTTACCTTATGCTGTGCCCTTCAGAGCCATTCTCTTCTGTTTTTGAGGTGATGTGCATAAATAATCCTTTTATATGTCTGATGTGGTCCAAAAACAGTGAATTATGTTTGATCAAACAAAAGAATAGTGAAATATGTAAACAAGGATCGGTCTCTGTGGCCTGTACAGCACCTCTCATCAGTTGGAATGCAATAACTTTTGCATAGATTATGGTAGAGACCTTTTTCTTTTTTCCTATGATTACAGACATGTGCAGGAACCACCAAAATTAATTACAGCACGCTAGAGCACACAGAACCTAAAAGGTACACTTTCAAATTTGAGTTTATAAAAAAAAAATACAAAAAGTGCCACTTTTTTTAGGTGTTTATTATAACACAGACAACATATACAGTTATTTTAAACACTTTCAATAGTGTTTTATGAAAATTCAAAGGGTTTTCTTTAAAATGATACCAAATTTTTGCATTTACACCTCTTTATGTGGATTTGGGAAGCTTTTAAATTTGGGTAGGCAAAATCCAGGCGGAAATCCCCAAATAGCAGCAGAGTTTAAGTGGTTAAACCACATTCTTTTTCTTTTGCCAGCAAAAAAAATGTCCCAAGACCTTAAAGAGCCCCTATTTTGCATTATAAAAGGTAATATTTTGGTTTTGGGCAGGGCCAGAGTGGGACTCCTTTTCAGCTCTGGAGTTTCAAGGCTTAGAGCGGCCCACTTCAGTTCACAACTGAACTGACTATATTAAAATAACATAATTTCCAATTCAGTACTTCACAGTGAAGATTTTTGTTGAAAAGTTAACACAATGTAATGTTTAACAAGATCCAAATCTATTTTCTGTAAGAATTAGTGCACATAAATATCCAAACTGTGAAATGGAAAAATATCAAATAAATACAAATATATATTATTTTATATGTATAAAATAAAGATTAAAATTAAATGTGTTGAATTCTCTAATGACACTATCATGTCTTTTTCAAGGAAACAGCTGCTTTTTTAACTTCAAATATTTTTCATATGAGAACATCAAAGGATAGCTAACACCAACACTCCAACATCTCCAACACTACTCTTTAAAACTTCACAATGTCCTTTTCTTTAATATCTGAATATATATTGTGTGCTAAATTGTTCACAGATATCCAGTCCTTAAACATAAATAAAAAAATAAAACAAGTATTGCACTGTTATATGCCGGACATTTTTAACCACAGTATTACTTTCTAATGGTGGCTTCATGTTTTTTCCCCTTTATAGCTTTCTGCCCAAGTTAAGTCAGCTTTATTAATGTAGTGAATCAACTGATTTCATTAAGCAGGTGTAATATTCATTAATTATAATAATAATTATTCAAATTCTAATTTTCACACAATGACATTCTAGTGTGTTGGGCTCATGACTGGTGCTTTGTGGTGTTCACTGTTGGCTCTTCACTGTTAGCAGCAAGCTGGACTGATGATGAGCTACAGTACAAGAAAACATTCGGTACATAAATGGTGGTTTGCTGACATAGATGTTTTGCACTGCTCCTAACTAGCTAAATGTTAATTTATTTGCTCTTCATGTGTTGTTGAACTCTTACTGCCACTGGTTTTTACGAAAAATATACTCAGCTATGTTAATTCTGGCCTTTTCAGTGCCACCTTTGCACGATTTTTCATCTCTCGCATATCGCTCAACAAATGATTAACACTTTCATTGTCTTATCATTTTTTTTTTGCGTTTATTTTTGCTTAATTATCCCAACGACTCTGATATGATTTGTTCAGCGATTCTTTTGTTCCCAAACCCCTTCTTTGCGTGAGGCTAATTTGTTGTAATTGGTCCGATGACCCAGTCTGTTGTGATCAGTCAACTGGGTTCAGCATGAGATGAGAAACAACAATGAAGTAGCACACAGAGTGTGTGAGCCCAATGCAGGAATGCAATAAAGCAATGCAGTTAAACACCAGTATATTACTTTACTCTTAACCCTAACCCCACGTAATAACAACGACACACATTCAGTATTAATCCACACAGCGGCAAAAGTTGAACTATTTTGAAAATTGACCGCGCTTCACATATGAGAAACAGCTGATGGTTCAGAAGAGCATTTAGATCTGTAAAGGAGAAGCATACGTTGCGTTTTTAACTTTTTTTTGACGCAATATGCGAATAGCCTCATACAGATTTAACCTGAGAGATACAGTACAAGCTGATCTATATTAGATAAGTGATTACAAGCTGCGTGGAGCAATTACAATTGCAACAAACAATTAAATACATATTTTGCAAACTACACAAAACGAGGCAACAATATTAATTACACTTAAATGTTAAGATCCTGAGGAAGAAGAAACTGGTCCATTTTAACTGCAACAGTCACTGACAAAGTCCCTGTCAAAATCAAAGTCCCATACACGATAGTCTCTGCTGCTTCTTTGATAGCAAACGGCTGGCGAACTCTGCGTTGCAGCATAGGTTATTGTATCAAAACACAGAAAAATGACAGGAACAAACACAGTACATGGTTGGCAATACTGTGGTATTGTTGTGAAAATTAACTTCAACCCTTTATCCCCCACAGCTGAATCTCCATCTGTCAGTGATCGTCATCTTCGCATCATGATCAGTCTTGTGATCCCAGTTGCTCTGCTAGTGTCTGAACGTAAAGGCGCGTTCATATTTTACCGAATCCGGTACTACATATTTGGTGATGTACCGTATCAACGGCGACGTGTTTAAGCAAAAGATCCGAACCCAGGACAATTCATTTATTCGACTCTGAGTCGACTATTTCATTAAAGAATCAATCATTTTTGAACACCGTGCTCTTTCAGATTTAAACATCAACTGAATGTTTTCATTCACTAAATGCTACAGTATGTGACACACTGCAGGGAAGCTTATTTAAAAAAATAATAATAATAATAACACGAGCTCTTTAATAATAAAAATAAATAAATAAATAAATAAATAAAAATTCTTCAGGCAAGCTATAGGAAATGTATTAATACATGGAAATACTTGCATTCAGTACATCTTAGTCAGTCCTTCATATCGTAATGCACATTGTTGGAACATTTATCATGTTAGTGAATGTTCTCGGTCTGCCGTAAGCTTATTCTGTAGAAATACAGCAAGGCCATTAATTCTATTAACCTAAGCCTCTTAAAGCTAGAGTTCCTGTGGAGGGGCACAATATATTACATTTATCCCAGCTGTAGGCCTTCCCGCTGTGGGTTTGTGTATGTGTGTATGTACTTACTGACCTTCCCTTATCAGGTCGCCTGTGTGTGTTTGCAGATATACGAAAATGTTCTGGATCAGTGGAAGCCATAATAACACTCCTAGCCCTGTGCACTAGACCGCTTTAGGGTCTCTGTCCTTGAACTTAGCCCACCGCCATAACTTGATTGCCTGCTAAATTATTCATTTGAACATCAGAGGCGGACATATGAGCTCTTCTTTTTTTCAGCTTCTTGTCATTTTGTGTTTAGGTGTTGACGGATGGATGAACCTAACAGAGATTGACCCAGATGAGGAGGTGCAAGGGGAGATTCACCTCCAGATCTCAGTGCTGGGAGATGGAGATATCCCACGGAAACTGTGCTGCCAGGTCCTAGAGGCAAGGTGAGGAGTTGGATTAGCTATATATACTGTATAAACAAGTTAGGTTTCAGATTTCAGGTCATTAAATAAACAAGTAAATAAGTAAAAACGCACATAAATCACAAAAATACAAAGATTTGGTTGGATTGCAGCACCAAATTTTTCTGCTTAATGAAATTCATTCATTCATTCGTTTTCTTTTCAGCTTAGTCCCTTTATTAATTCAGGTTTGCCACAGCGGAATGAACCACCAACTTATCCAGCACTAAGTGTTTTACAGCTAAATTATTAAATGAGGGCTAAAAGACAAACAAAGCACCTTTAACGCTGAAAAAAAAATTATTAATTACTGATTTTTTTAAGGTAAGTGGTTGAAAACAATTTATATTGGCTGAATTTGAACAAAGTATGATCAAAGTTGAACATTACTAAATTTGTTCAAATTCACTTACATAAAAAAGTAAATCCAGTTTTTTTTCAGTGCAGTTAAAAGTAATAAATAGTTATTAAAAATAAAAACAATATAGACATGGGCAAGTTTAAACAGGTCAGTTTTCAGCTGCTTCTTGAAAGTGTCTACAGAGCATTCCACTATTTGGGAGCAATTACCTTAAAAACACAGCCTCCTTTTGTCTTCCATCTAGAATGAGGAACAACTAACAGGAACTGGTTTGAGGATCTCAGATTCCTACTTGAGTTGTAAGGTTTCAACGTCTCTTTTTAAGGTCATGCGGTGAACAAAAAACATTTTGAGAATTCTAAAAAGAATTCTCGATTTGACAGGGAGGCAGTTTTGAGAGATAAGTTATAGAGAAAAAAAAGTGTTGCAAACTTTGAAAGATGCCTTCAACATAGATCTGGATACAAATCCACTTATGGCCATTTTTGGGCTGTCAGTAGATGCTAACTATTTAGTATTGTTCTGAAAGGCTTTAGCTTTTACTACTTTACTAGAAAGACGTCTCATCCTATATATTACATTTTTTGTTATATAAAACAAACCTGGGAAAATCACAGATTTATTCCAAACTTTCTTCTGTCAGCAGGCAGCACAATGATTGTGACTCAATGTTAGCATGTAAATGTCTTCAGGAGAGGAATCTCGTCACACCTGTAAATTTTCAGGCATATCGAGCATTGTGTGGCTGAGTTATAAGTACTTCCTTTTCCATGAAAAAACACTGATCTGTCAGTCTGCCACAGACTTCATCGAAAACTAAAGCCTGCAGGGACACCGGCCCTTCAGGACCGAGATTGGTGACCCCTGGTCTAGGAGAAGCTTGTTAAACTGTAAAATTTGTCATTTCCTGTTGCCAACAGGTGGCGCTATGTCTGTAACTAGATGTTGGCATGTAAACATGCTCATGTCAGGACTCCTATCAAACATGTGTCATTTAAGGCAGACAACACATGTCTGAGTTATAACAACTTCCTGTTTCATGGCGTAACATCAAAGTTTGTGACACACCCTTCGACGAAAGCTCTAGATCTTCGCAATTTAACATCAATTTAACATTCGCAATTTGTTATCTAAAAGCCTTTAGATAACAATAACAATTTTGGTGTTGATCTGATAAAATCTCTAAGAGGAGTTTGTTACAGTACAATGCCTGGAAATGGCAAAATCTGCACTTTTTTGGCAGAGGAAATCAGAAAGTATCCGACTTCCTGTTGATGATGACTGATGGTGATGACAGACAGTACATATTATTTGACTAGATAATTTTCAAGACACTATTATTAGTAATCAACTTAAAGAATTTCTACAGAGGAAAAAATATTATAGTAGATACTGTGAAAATATTCCTTTATCTATTGAACATAATTTGTGAAATATTTGAAAAAGAAGAAGGAGGCCTAATTATTTTTATTTCATCTGCAGTCACGATTAGTGTTGTGTGTTATTCAAACATAAAGAAACAGATATAACCAGCCATGCACAAAAATAAAATGTCCTCAGTGTATGTGAATCAGGCATGGACTGCTGAAATGGGGATTGGGAGATTTCATCTTCATAAGCTGTGTTTGGATTTGTGTTTAATAGCTTCATGTACTTTCGGCTTTATTTCTAGAGATCTTGCGAAAAAGGATCGCAACGGGGCCTCTGATCCTTTTGTCCGAGTGAGATACAATGGGAAAACGTATGAGAGCTCGGTAAGGATGTAGTACTTCTGTAAGCCTCTCATTTGATCTGCCACACTAGAAAGGTCTGTTAACCTTGATTCTGCTTCCCTCCAGGTGGTTAAAAAGTCCTGTTATCCTCGCTGGAACGAGAGTTTTGAGTTTGAACTGGACGAGGCGCTGACTGACAGTCTACTGAGTGTGGAGGTGTGGGACTGGGATCTGGTCAGCAGAAATGACTTCCTGGGAAAGGTGAAGTACATTTCCTGCATGGAGCACTAAGAGATTTGGATTAGAAGATGTTTTGGACTTCGCCTTTGCCTTATTTAACATAAAATATAAAAGATTAAAATAAGTAGTACAAAAAAAGGTGTGTTTTAAAGGGAAGTTCACCTAAATGTCATCATGTTTTTACTGTAAGATTAGTACACACGTGATTTCTGTGGGACACAAAAATATACAGCACTGTACAAAAGTCCTAAGCACTATACCAGCTTTGGTGGCTTAAGACTTTTGCACAAGATACTATCAAGCAGTTTTTTTATTAAAAACAAATTTAAATAAAAAGAAAATAGCAAATAGGTACAAAAAACCAACAACAGCACAACATTTCATCTTCAAGCTGAAGTCTATGTTTAATGTGGCTTCCCTTGGCACCAAGCAAAACGTTCGAGGTTACAGAAGTAACCCTTCGTTCCCCGAGGAGGGGAACGGAAGTGCCATAGAGTGGATTGATTGAAATCCACGAAATGGGACGATTCGGTTCAGAAGCCGCTTGTCTGAAAGAGTATTGAACGGGCCAATGAATGCAATGAATTGGCAGCGTAAGCTTGCACAGGTGTACTTCATTGCCAATTATCCCAGCATATAAGCACACCTGGAGCGAGCAGACGCCATCCTTTTAAGCTGAAGAGACTTTCAAACAGCTAAGGGACAGTCATTATGGCGACGGAGTATGGCACTTCCGTTCCCCTCCTCGGGGAACGAAGGGTTACTTCTGTAACCTCGAACGTTCCCCTTCGGTTGGGGAACTTCAGTGCCATAGAGTGGATTGATTGAAATCCACGAAATGGGAGAAGTATGGAAAGCGCCATAATGACTGCACCTTACCAACGCCCCCGATGAGGGGATTGTCAAGCAAGCGTGACGCACCCACATCATGGGAGGCTCGGTCCTCCAACGTGTCCCTGGCCCTAATTTATCCTACTTCAACAGAAGTTTTACGGATTTAGATATATTTTTTGGGAAGTCGTGAGCATCTAGATAATTCTAGGAAAATACGACAGTACGTTGGGAAGCATGCAATCCCTATAGGGAGGACGCTGCGGAGGCCATCCGTTACCCAAGGGGGGATAGATGGCAGAATTTACATATGGACTAGCCCTAAAAAGGGGGAGTACGCATAGCAAAAGAGTGGTTAGCGGGGAGGGAAGACACGGGTCCGCCCAGGGGGGGGGGACTTAACCGTGGCGGAATAAGCATATGGGATCGCCTAGTGGGGATCACGCATAGCAGGCACCTTTACCCAAAACGCGGGCTGACCAGCGGGCAGACCTACAACGTAGTGGGCCAGCAAGCGACTACTCCGCTGAGTCAGTGCTGGAGGCCACGGAGGAATCTGCAGGGCTCACCTGACGGGGAACTTTACTGACAGATAAAAAGGCGCATGTACCTCCGTGTTAGGGAGAATGGCGCAGCAAGCGTGTTATAACACCCTACCGAATTGTTTCCTCAATCACCAAGGGTTACCTAATACCCTTGAGGAAACCGGCTTCACTCACAGATTGTAAAACCTTGCAAATGTGTTGGGTGTCACCCAGCCCGCAGCTCTACAGATGTCTGTTAGAGGGGCGCCGCGTGCGTGCGCTCGAGAGGATGCGAAGCTCCGAGTGGAGTGCGCACGCGCTCTCGGGGGACGCGGCTCATCTCGGCTCTGATAGTGAAAGAAAGGCATCCACAATCTAGTGGGAACTTATTTCGGTACGGCACTTCCCTGCTGCCGACCGCCATAACAGACGAAGAGCTTCTCAGATGATCTAAACTCTGAGTGCGGTCCGGATAATACGCAAAACGCGAACTGGACAATAAAGAAGGGCTGGGTCTGCCTCCTCCGAGGGCAGCGCTTGCAGGCTCACTACCTCGTATTAAAACGGAGTGGTAGGAACCTTGGGCACATATTGCGGGCGGGGTCTCAGGACGTGAGAGAAAGCCAGCCCAATTACAGGCACGAGTCACTGACCGACAAATGCCTCCGGGTCCCCGACCCTCTAATCGATATCAACGCGACCAGCAGAGCTGTCTTCAGGGACAGAAAGATACTGAGTCGAGGATCGAAGGGATCTGATGCGGCTTTTGTAGCGAGGGCGAGATCCTAAGAGGGCATGAGAGGGGATTAATTCGCTTAGCGCCCCTGAGGAACCGGATGATGAGGTTATGCGTTCCCACGGTGCTGCCAGCCACCGCGTTATGAGAGCGGAGATGGCAGCCACGTAACCTTGAGTGTGGAGGGCGACAGCCTGCTCTCCAGCTTCTCTTGGCGTAAAGAAAGCACAACGCTGATCTGGCAAATTACGGGGGTCTTCTCAGCGAGAGACACACCATTCAGTGAATAGACTCCACTTCAGGGCATAGGCGCGCTCGGGGCTCTAGCCCGAGTGACGGTATTAGCCACCGCAATCGGAGGTTACCTAAATCTTCCTCGCGTCTAATGACCTCCAAAGATCGGCGAGGGTGCCAGGTGGTGCCCTGTCCCTGAGAGAGTAGGTGCTTTCTCAAAGGGACTGCCAGGGGAGGGCTATCGCGAGGGAGAGCTCTGACATCCAGGTCCGGTTGAGCCAGAGGGGCGCAACCAGCAACCTGTTCCTCGTCCTCCCTGACCTTGCACAGTAACTGCGCGAGCAGGCTCACTGGGGGAAACGCGTATTTGCGCATGCCCCGAGGCCAGCTGTAAGCCAGTGCATCCATGCCAAGAGCACTCGGTCAGGGAAAGAACAACTGGCAATGAGCGATCTCGGGGGAAGCAACAGATCGATCTGGGCTTCCCCGAATCGCGCCCATATCAGCTGAACAGACTCGGGGTGGAGTCTCCATTCTCCAGGACGTGAGAGCGCATCGGCTGCACGGTTGAGCTTGCCTGAATATGAATGGCGTGCAGCGATTTTAGCCGCGGATGACTCCAGAGGAGCAGACGGCGGGCGAGCTGAGACATGCGGCGAGAGCGCATACCCCATACGGCTGATATACGCCACCGCCGCCGTACTGTCCGTCCTGACCAGCACGTGTTGCCGCTCCAGCACCGGTGGAGAGCGAGGAACACTGCCAACAGCTCCAGGCAATATGCCAATGCAGCTGGGTACCTTTCCACAGGTCCGCAGCCGCATGCCCGCAACGCACAGCCCCCCAGCCCGTGTTGGAAGCGTCTGCTGAAACGACAACAAGACTGGACGCCTGTTCTAGAGACACCCAGGCCTGTAGGAACGAGGGGTCGCTCCAAGGGCTGAGGGTGCGGCGACACAGCGCAGTAACAGAGACTCGGTGTGCGCGCGCGTGCCATGCGCGTCTGGGGACTCGATCGTGAAGCCAGTGCTGAAGTGGTCTCATATAGAATAATCCGAAGGGGAGGACTTTGTATTGCCAAGCTCGACCTTCAAACGCAAACCGCAGAAACTGACGGTGGGCGAGGAAGAGTGGAGACATGGAAATACGCGTCCATCAGGTCTAATGCTGCAGACCAACCCAGAGGACGAACGCACCGGAGGATGCGCTTCTGCGTGAGCATTCCGCATGCCCGCAACGCACAGCCCCCCAGCCCGTGTTGGAAGCGTCTGCTGAAACGACAACAAGACTGGACGCCTGTTCTAGAGACACCCAGGCCTGTAGGAACGAGGGGTCGCTCCAAGGGCTGAGGGCGCGGCGACACAGCGCAGTAACAGAGACTCGGTGTGCGCGCGCATGCCATGCGCGTCTGGGGACTCGATCGTGAAGCCAGTGCTGAAGTGGTCTCATATAGAATAATCCGAGCGGCATGAAGCGGCTGCGGATGCCATATGCCCCAGGAGCCTCTGAAATAGTTTCAGTGGGACCACTATTTTACTGTCGAGCTCTCTCAGACAGTACAGCATCAGCTGAGCGCGCTCTCCAGAGAGGCGCGCTGCCATGGTGACCGAGTCCAGCTCCAGCCCGAGAGAAGAGATCCTCTGCATGGGGGCGAGTTTGCTCTTTTCTCGGTTGACCTGAAACCCCCACAGGTGGAAGTGCCAGAGCACTTTGTCTCTGTGCATAATCAATTGCTCCAAGAGAGGGCAAAAATCAGCCAGTCGTAAAGAAATCGAGTATGCAGATGCCCGCGAGCCGAAGGGGCGCTGAGGCACCCTCCGCGGGCTTGGTGAGGACCCGCGGAGACAGAGAGAGCCCGAAGGGGAGGACTTTGTATTGCCAAGCTCGACCTTCAAACACAAACCGCAGAAACTGACGGTGGGCGAGGAAGAGTGGAGACATGGAAATACGCGTCCATCAGGTCTAATGCTGCAGACCAACCCAGAGGACGAACGCACCGGAGGATGCGCTTCTGTGTGAGCATTCTGAACGGCAGCTTGTGCAGGCAGCGGTTCAAAACGCGCAGATCTAGGATTGGCCGTGACCCACCGCTCTTTTTGGGCACGATGAAGTGTGGGCTGTAAAACCCGCTCTCCATCTCGGCTGGAGGGAGCGGCTCGATTGCATCCTTCGCCAGGAGGACAGCAATCTCCTCTCGCAAGACAAGGGCGGACAGGGGGCTGACCCTGGTGAATACACACCCGCGACTTGGGGGGCCGTTTCGCGAACTGAATCGCATAGCCGAGTCTGATTGTGCGTATGAGCCACCGCGAAGAGCTGGCCCGCGCTAACCAGGCAGGCAGAGCTCCCGCTAATGGACTCATCGCTACAATCGCTGACGTACCAGCAGTGGGGCAGCGCGGAGTGGGTGTGCTGATCCGGGAAGCTCGCGGGTCCCACGGAAAAGCTGGAGGTGAGATATTTGCTCTCACTCCGAACCCGAGCTCCGGAGGGGAGGCTCGAGGGGTGGGAGAAAGGAGACCGTCCTCCCAGCGCTCGTGAGCCACTGGCGAAACGCACCGAATCTGCAAGCTAGAAAGCATAGCGTCCCAGACTGGCAGATTTCGGGCTGTCACATCTGGGGAAGTGAAAAGTGCCCTTTCATAATGTTTTCATGGCAGTAAAAAGTGCCGTTGTGAAATGGGGCCCCGCCCTCCAG